AAATGGATGACGGAGGAGACTCATCCACGACCTCTGACACTAAACTCTCCTCCTCTTGCATGTTTCCGCTGTCCATAGCGTTCCTTGACAGCGTCGTTTCTAAGTCGCCAATTTAGTGCTACTTGGTCCCAATGGAATTTCCCATTGGGAACCTACTAGCAATGAGTTGCTAACCGGTTAACAAGATGGTTCCAAGACACCAGCAACAATCAAACTTGCTAGCAAACCTTCCTCTACAACAATCCCGCCCCCTTGATAAACGACCAATCACATTCACTTTATTTACTCGTGTAAAGTCGGGCACCACTCGGGAGAATTCAGAAATGCAACGATTGGAACAGTCGCTTCTCTATGACTTAAAGTTTTAACTGGTTTAAATCTGTAAAAATTCCTTTTCAAATAACCTCTGGCTATCTGATTCTTAATCAATTAGTCAGAAAAAATAGTTAACAGACTAACCGTTAAGTTATCTTGGCTTGTATTTTTGACTAACTCTACCAGTATTAAGTGTTTATGGGTTTTTTTTTTTCAGAGCATCTCTGTTTTAATTTTCCAGGTGGTGCGTCTGTGCCAGAACCCCAAGGTGGCGCTGAAGAACAGCCCGCCCTACATCCTGGACCTGCTGCCAGACACCTACCAGCACCTACGCACCATCCTATCCAGGTACGAGGGCAAGATAGAGATCCTCGGGGAGAACGAGTATTTCCGCGTGGTCATCGATAATCTCACCAACAAGACCAAGCAGACCATGAGCCTCTTCAAGGAGGCCAAGGAAAGGATGTATGAGGAGAACTCTCAGGCCAGGTAAGCTCCTCATGGAGAAGCTGTGAAGCAGGTGGATGAGAGGCTAATCACTGCTCTTATTGGCATTCAATCAATAAAATAATCCTTTAAGATCCTGATAGCAGGATTATTCCTAATCTGTCACTGCTGTCGTTTCCTGACCTGAAGCTTTGTTTTTTTAATCTCTACCTTTCAGGTGTTCTTCACAGAACGTTTGGTTAAGACTGTGTTTAAAAACAAAAAACATACACTTGCACCTCAATAAATCATTGAGACGAAATGTTAATGCTTTACCGCTGATGGAAACCCACAGATCAGTGTTTTAGAAAAGGCCGATCATACAAAATGTTATTTTGCTGAGTTAACAGTTGTCGCCGCTTTCCTAGAGGAGGGTTGGCATAAATGCTTCTTGTAAAAGAAGCCGACTGTTCGGGGAGCTGTCTAAGCACATTTATGCTAAGTTGAGTGGAAGGAAAAAGTGTGGCGGGAAAAAAAACGGTGCATCAGCAACGGGGATAACCGCAGTCTTGAGAGGATTGTGAAGCAAACAGCTTGCAGCTGGAGTCAGAGCTTCTAGAGCAACTAATTAAAAATCAGCGGGGTCCGAATAAAGAAAATCATCAACCAGTAAAGGTCCAGAGACATTTTAAATTATACTTTAAACAGAATTTATCACTGAAATAAAATGCAGGTGTTTAAGCATCCATGTAATACACTGACTTAAAAAAAAAAGTCTAAAGTGTTTTTTTTAAGTAGAGAACAACAATTATTCAGGTTGGTATATAGACAATTTCCTGATTCCCATATTTTATCAAACAGCTGAACTGTTTG